TTAGCCCATTTTAATTTGGACATTTGAACAACTTAAATCTGCTGCGTCTGGCAGAACACCACAGAGATACTGAGAAATGTTTTTTTATGACGTGTCCAGAAAAGAGCTGAGTATTTGAACAGAGTTACATAAGATCCATTAGAATAATGAGACCCTGTGTTAAGTCCTCACAGGGACGTGTGAGGACAAACAGTGTCGTAGCAGAGGTTAAATGTAGTGCTGGTGTAATCGATTGAGTTGTGGACTGACATTAATTAGATCATAGTTTAAGTCATTTATGTGCAGGTCTGAAAGCAGCTTTATTCTATAGATTTCAGACTTAACACGTACTGTGAACACATTTGTTTAATAGTCAAATAGAGATTAGAAAGAAAATGCAAAGATATGTGCAAACGGTGACAGCAGCAGTTTAGCTGGTGACGACATGTGGACACAGCCGAAGGAAGAGAAAGGAGGAGATTCCATGCAATGTGTGGAATCTCCTCAAGTTAACCTTCCCCCCTTTTTTGTTAAATTCACCTCTTTGTCAAAAAATATCACAGTTTCAGGAATTTACCAAAGAAAAAATGTCTAGAAATTTGCTGTCACAGGTTTTTTTTTCTTGCTGCATCATTATATTACATTATATTATATATTATATTTTGGACCGTGAAGCTCAGCAGTGTTTGAGAGAAAAAAATCAATACTGTATAAAGTTGGTGGCTCCTTATTAATAGTGAATGCATTATTTTACTACATGTAATGGAGATGGGGTCACACACAGTAGGAAAGCTTCCGTTAGCTCATAGTGTTGGTGTGTGTCTCTCGAATCATATGTTGAGCTGCAAGAATGTAAACGTACAAGTCAGTCTCAGCTGTCAATCAGGACGTTTCACCCTTTTTTCATATAATGAAACCAAACGTGGACATTTCAAACAAACATCAATGTGATGAGAACGACCTAAAATGACAGAAACCACTTTCGACTTATATGTGTCATTTGCAAACATGGAGGAGGCGGGGTTTGGGGACTATACACTCGCCAGCCACCAGGGGGTGATTCAGATGCTTTGGCTTCACTTTTGCGGGGCTGTCATGTCGTCCGTCATGATAAGAAGACCGGGTTTTTTAAACGTGGTCTTCATCTGCCCCCAAGTGGCCCAAAGAAATCTGTGCAGCTTTATTAAGATGCCACAAACACACTTAGACTTAATTAATTAAAAATAATTTCTGGAACATTTACACTTGGTGTTTTCACCTGTAACCCTCCAGGACACGCTCTCTCTTAGTCCCTCATCTCCGAAGTGTGTGTTTGTCCCACACTCTTAAAGATGCATGCCTGTGTGTGTGTGTGTGCGTGTGTGTGTGTGTGTGTGCATGTGTGCTTCTCGAATCAAATATTGTGCTGCAAGAATGAATGCAGACAAACGAGTGAAGCAAAGAATCTGCTTGTGTGTTTGTGTGTTTGTGTGCTTGTGTGTTTGTGTGTCCCTGTGCTGCAGGGTTCAGGTGTTAATGTCCACCAATGTGTCTAATTACTGCCCCCCCCCCTCATGTACATTTGATGCTGGGGGGGAGGAAGGAAGACGAGAGGTATTGATCATGGTGTTTTGGGGGAGAGAAGGATGATGGAAGAAGAGGAGGGTGAGGGAGGGATGGGAGAAGACATGGCAGGAAGCAGAGAGGGAGGATGTGTGGACTGAATGCCAGCGAAGCCTTAAGTGCCAGAATTATCACTTCAACCCTCCTCTTCCTCTCCTTACCCCTTTTCTCCCTCCTTTGACTTCATGTCTCTCTTCTCCTCCCCTTTTCCCCCGCCCTCCCTCTCTTCCTCTCATCCTTTCCATCCCTCTTTCTCACCCTCTCTCTCTCTCCCTCTCTCTCTCCTCCTCTCGCCACCAGCTGCAGTGCAGAGATTTCCGCCGAGACCCCCGTCAGGCTGTCAGGTGACCGGCACGGATGCTGTGACATCACCGCCCCCTCGACCGACTGTCAGCCCTCCGCCGTTGCCATGGCAACGTCGGCAACGGCCTGCGGAGCCGAGGCTGGCGACGAGACGCCTGCAGGAGGAGGAGGAGAGGCAGCAGGAGAATGCGTAAGGAGTCTCTCTCATTTTCTTTCTTAAATCTTAAACGTGTCGTCGGTGATGTGATGTGATCTCTTCGCTTTTCTCAACGTGCAGAAACCTGCAGATCTATTGGTATTCAAGGATGACGGGGACAAGCAAGGGGACTGCGACACAGACACACAAACACATGCACATCACTCACACACACTGATGCAGAGGTATTTTGTCGAGGCGAGAAATGAGTATGCAGCAGTCTGTTTTCCAGCAGCAGCTTGACGTCTGACGGTGCAGTAAAGAGAGGGGATTAAGCCGCCCTCCAGCAGCAGGCTGCAGGCAACTCAGCGCTTCATCCCTGCTCTCTGCACGGCTCCTCTCTGCTGGACGGCTGCAGCTCCACACCAGCCTCAGCTGCATCCTCTCTGTGCATCTGCAGAACAGAAGAGCCGGACTGACATGGAGTCGCATCTTGCTCGCATGCAATGACTCTCTAGGTAGTTCAGTGAACAGATGTCGAGGTGCGTTGGATTCTTGCCTCTCTTAATTCTTTGGTTTTGAATCCACAGTGGATCCTGACTCTGCATTCCTAAAGAAAGAGCTGCTGCTTGATAATTCAGCTGAGCATGAATTATTCTCCTTAGTTTTATGCGATTGCTGCGAGCTGCAAATCCTCTCCTGGTGCAGAACGATGGAAAACCTTCCTGCGCCCGCCGCTCGGGTGTATCTGCTCGTTGTCAGGAGAATCGTCAACATGTAAGGAGGTAATCATTGCAAAGTCAATACCATCAAACGCAGCGGATGTAAGTGAGGAGCTGCGTGTCGTGACCTTTGAACTTTCAACCTCAGCTCAACTCTCAGGGGCTTGATGGACCCTAAAAGGATTTTAAAAGCCACATGAGGGGTGTTTGTCCTCGGAGAGAATGCTGCAGTGTGTCAGGGAATTCCTGGCTTTTAAAAAATTATATAAAAAAGAACGCAGGAGGATTCTTTGAATCGTGATTGTGGGGACGTCCGTCATCTTCAAGGCTCGTTGGTTTCAAGTTGTGATAAGAACAGATTTTTCGGATGTGCAGCCTTGTTTTGTTTAGTCTGTTGCGAGAGTTGGCTCGGTGCTGCATCTCAGCATTTTGGAATCTTATCAGTTCCTTCTTGGGATCAGAGAGATAACCAAGACGTGTTATGTAATGATGCCTTGACAGGGAATACATGAAAACATCTCTCTCACACACACACACACACACACACACACACACACAGACCTCCAATCTGTGATTTCTGCCTCATCATCATCAGTCTCACCCTATCTCCTCAGAGAGTCTTGCCCTTTCTTCATCCCGTTGCCATAGAAACATGACTAAGTTTGACTGACACATGTCTCTTTCCACCCGGCAGCACACCGGTCTGGGCTGCAGGCGCTCCAGCTCGGACGCGGCCTATGAGCTGGCTGAGACGGTGAGGGCGCAGCGTGAGTGTCGTCTCCGGCCCCACTACAGCGACCCCATGCCAGCCGACGCCTCCAAGCGCAAACAGCTGGAGATGAAGATCGCTGCCGCCGCCCGACTCCACGGCCACCGCCGGGACCGTGACAGAGACAGTGGTGAGCTCATGACGCACGTGTGACAACTGTGCCACTGTGTTTGACATGTTTGTATGTGATCCATCGCATTTTGAATCACCGTTAAACCACTTTGGAGCAAACGAGGACAACAATGATGCAGCAGTGTTATCTTCAGAATGCAAATGATCCCAGGGGCAAAATTCAAGGCCCCATAATCGATCACGTGTCATTTGAAATATTTAATCTGCATCAAAAAAACATTTAGTGACTTTTATGCTGAATGTTTATTGGTCACCTTGAAGGGCAGTGGAGCTTCACTGAGGCCCAACAGTATGAAAACACATTTAGATTCACTAGATATGGATTTTTATTTAACACCCATAAATATCAGTTCCCTAAATATAATTCTTTTCGTCAAGATCTGTGAATTATTCACGTTTGCCTTTGTTGCCTGAAGAGCTGATCGGTGATGCGTAAGCTGCTGTTGCTTTACCTGCTTTACTGTTGAGGAACACATTAATATTAGATCTATTCTGGATGAATGCAGAGGGACAATAACGAGGAATTATCAAAGCTGTAGAGACATGAATCTATCTATTTTAGTCCCTAGTATGGGTCGAACTCTACAAGCACTGGATCCTACATTTCCATTTATCATGTTTTTGTGTACACACACACACACACACACAGTCAATATATTAAATGCTAATGTTGACCTTGTTGCTCTCTGCATCAGATAAGAGGGATGTGGATCAGATTCAGTTGTTTTTACCTCAGACTTTGTCAGAACCGGACGATTGAGGATATATGTGAAAGCACAATTAGCATATTCATGATGTCATCACATCTTTTTTGTGCATTTTGCAGAGTGTCAACCGATATCCAACATTTGTCTGTTTGCACTTTGGAGAGAATGCACAGAGTTTGTATGAGTGTTCGACTGAATCAGTTATTTTAGCAAACTCAGCTCCTCCAGGTACAGAAAGTTCAGTTTTGTCTGAAAGCAGCTTTTTTTTCTGTTCTTATAAACTCTTATGTAACATTTCTAACTTCACGAGATTTGTCTCTCGTCGTTAATTTTTTAAAAAGTCACTAAAGGGAATTTAAATCTAATTCTTTTAAACTTCTTAATGTTATTACTTTTATATTCACATCTGAACTGACCAATTATGGTTTTAAGAAACATCTCAGGGGTTTTTAACATGCATGGTGCCTCTGTGCGTTTAAATCCAAAATCTAACCCTAACCTTAAACGTACTGCTAACCAGAACCCTCCCCTGTCTTCTGCTTCAAATGTAGTGGATTATTTCATGTGGATTTCCTTGGTTTCTCCATAATGAAGACACATCCCCAGAGTGTGACTATAAACACAGCATTAAGCCCACACATACACACATGGTGACATGATCCATACTGTCAACAGAGGTTAAGTCCTTCGCCGGAGGGTTGAGGATCTAATCATTGGACATAGATTAGATATCTGTAATGGTTCCTCCATTGACCCTGGCTGGCAGTGACCAGTCCAGATTAAACGGTTGGTAATTGTGGACGGTGCCAATAATGTTATGTATGTGTGTCAACGTGTGAACAGACTGTAGAGATTAAATCTATACCTGCTAATAACTCTGCTGCTCCTCAGCTCCTGCAGCCATTCGTGGTCGCTCAGAGCCCCCTGGTGAGGAGCGTCAGGTGGGTCTGGGTGTGACTCGATCGGGGCAGCACCGCTGGAGCACCATCAGTAGTCTGAGCGCTGACAGCGGCGTGGTGGGTCTCAGCGACGAGCGAGAGGAGGAGGACAGCGAGCCTCGTCGTTACCGCAGAACCCGGGGAGCTGATGTCGAGCGGGTGGACAGCGGAATCGGCCCGGGGCTGTCCCGCACCTGGAAGAGACCGTCCGCCTCGCTCAGGGCCTGGGAGGCCCAGAGACCCTGCCCGGACTGCGGACTGAGGGATGGGGCGTCCAAAGAGCGAGGAGAGCGCATGTGTGAACGTTGCTCCAAACTGCGCACGGAGCGCAAAGAGGCCATCCTGGAGTTTCTGAACACGGAGTCCAGCTACGGCGAAGACCTGCGGATCATCAGGGAGGAGTTTTACTGCCCCATGCAGAGCGCCGGGCTGCTGACGGCTGAGCAGCTCACCGTGGTGTTCGGTAACGTCCAGGAGCTGATAGACGTCAACGACCGCTTCACTGAGCACCTGCAGGACAGCATCGACCAGGCCTTCGACCAGGTGACTCACTCAGTGTCATACACTCAGAAGAGGCTCATATCTATTGATTTCTAAAGCTCCTGAGCTTCCAGTCCCTGCTCCTACATACTCTACCTTCAGGGTTACATTCATTAAACACCATTCTTTCTTTTGAGTGCAGATAGAGCTTCAAGACTTGATTTCAATATTAGGCTCCGACGCCAAAGGATATTTTTGTAGGAAGAGTTAAATAACCAGTGAGGGGTGAGGATAGTAAGGTTGGATATGAAGGGTAGAGCCTGATCTGTTTTGTAAGTCAGAACGAGGATAGATCTCAACTCTGGAACTAATGTGGTGAGAAAGATTTGATCGTTTCCATATTAGCTTCTAGGAAAAGCGATGCTCTCATGAAGTGTATTCATTCCAATGCACCCTTCACAATATGTAGGTTAAACCCTCACAATTTAAGTTATTTAAACTCTGCATCCATGTAATTTGTTTGTGGCCGAACTAATCCTCCACCATCAGATCTTTCAGATGCAACAATAGACAATAACCCCCTAAGACAAATTGTTTCCCAGTGCAAGACATAAACGAGTTGAACACTGACTCGACCGCTTCCTCTCCTGTGGTTCGACCTCAGGGAGACGAGGATCTGCTGACGGTGTACATCGGAGAGATCTTCCTGGAGTTCGTCAACATGCTGCCCGCCTTCCAAACCTACTGCCTGCAGCAGTCCACCTCGGTCAACATGCTCAACACGCTGGAGAAGGAGAAGGAGCTGCTCAGGTACAAACAAAGCAAACGAGGATTCGTCTTCCTCTCGACCCGTGTGATGGAAACTGTGGGAGCTTTCTCGAGTCCCTGTCGACGCGGTTCTGTGTAAATCTTAATGGAAAAGACAGGGGGTCATCATTAATTCAGAAGAAGGTCTATTTTGAGAGTAGAGATTCGTATTTTTAGACAGAACCACAGCTCACCCAGGAGTCAGGCTGTCATGTGATTCTCCTTAATCAACTTAGTAAGAGATCTCCCAGGACATACACAGAATGTAAGAATCTCTCAGCTTTCATAATTATGCCTCTGTGCCGGCGACACCCAGTGGCCGGAGGAAGAATATTTTTTATACTGTGAACGTAAAAATCTCAGGAATTCCTTCTGGTAATTTCCTTAAATTTAAAGAAACACTCATTGATACAATTTTGGTCAAGGTCTCTTACCCCATGAACATGTTATCTTAAGATCGTCTCAAAAGAAACCTTTCAAATTTGGTACAAATGTTCAGTTAGTCTCACAGATGAACTGATTAGATTTAGGTGTTTAAAGGTCAAAGGTCACATTGACCTCAATCATGTAGACTGAAACTGCACTAATTGGTGGAGCGATACAACCACAGCGCAGTAATTGTAGTTTTTTTTCTGTTTCTCTTTTCAGAATCTTTCTGGATGTCTCCCAGAACGACAATACAGCACTGCGCCGTATGAACCTGCGCTCCTTCCTCATGGCGCCCCTCCAGCGGGTGACCAAATACCCGCTTCTATTGAGCCGCATCATTAAGGTCACACCCGAATGTCACCCCGACTATGCACGTCTCCGTGAGGCCAAGAGTCGGGTGGAGTCCCATCTAGAGCACATCAACATGAAGACTAAGCAGGAGGGCAACGGCGTCACATGGTCCCTCCGGTCATTCCGAAGAGACAGCCGCAAGAACCGGGAGGTGATAAACATCGAGATGCGGGAGGTGTCCATGAAGACGGTGGGCTGGGCCCGAGAAAACACCCGCTTCGTCATGGAGGGACCACTCCAGCTGTCCCAGCCGGCGGATGGTCAGTGGGTGAGGAAGGGAAGCAAAGCCCTCAAGTTCCAGAATGTTCAGAGTCTGCTGATGGTGAGGACACAGCGGGTGGGTGAGGCCCCAGGACCGGGCACCGACCTGGGGGCAAGGGGAGATCAGGTGGAGGGCGGCGGAGAGAGCATTCGAGACGGAGTGCTGGTTCTCATCAAGGACAAAAGCAGCGGGAAGTTTGCGGTGCTGAGAGAGCCCATCCGTCTGGGGAACTGCGTGGTGTCTGCAGATCCCGACTCTGAGGACACGTTCGAGGTGCTCGATATCCGACGGGAATCATTTGTTTTCCGCGCCTCGGACAAATCTCGCACCCAGCAGTGGTTCCATCAGATTAAGAGGTACACTCGAGACTTAGGGACCTGGAGGAAAAGACGCAACGCTTTGCCCAACATCATGATCAACACAAACCAGACCCGCTCCTGAGACCAGGCATCCCCTCGGCTTTTCTTTTTCTAACACTGTAAATAACCTGGAATCCTTCAACTGCAAAATCAGCCAAACAGCAAGAAACACTTGAGTGAGATTCCAGTAAAAAAAAGTTTCAGGAGGATATAGACGGATATAGCACTTTTTTTCCTTACAATGCTGTAAGTGCACCACCATACTGTCATGAAGTTTGAGGTTTTGATTTAAAGCCGTGACGTAAAAAAAAAAAATCAAATTCTCGGACAACCAAAAAAACTTGGGCTGTCAGCCTTGATTGTAAAGACTGTTTTGCTCTGGGAGAAAAAGAGCTGAGTTACCAGTGAAGGTGTGTCTGTTGCACAGCATGACTGAACATGACTGCAAAAAAGAAGTTTCATTTTTTTATACGAGACAGTTCGCGGTGGGGAAAAACATGTTTGTTTTGGTATGTCATGGTGGAAATGTGGTACATGAGCATTGTTCAGTGGTTTTCCGTTTGTTGTACTGACCTCTCCTCGTCTATCTGCCGCCACCTACTGTACGTCGGCGGTAGAGCAACTTTCACTGCCAGAGATGCAGTTGAGCAGAGCCTCTTCTAACGCGCTGAACGAACCTCCTGTATCACTGTGTCCAAACGAGAACTCACACAACAGCAATAATATCTGCCACTTTCAAAATAAGTAGCTACTGTATTTGTGTTTTAATTTCCCAGGAGTTTCTGTTTGGCATTCAGGTGGTGATGCTGCTTCTGGCTGAGTCGGATTCAACCCAAGTCTCAAATCTGTTTGTCTGCATCTTTACTGCTTCCCCTCTGAGGAACTCTCATTGGAATTAAGATCATCTTAGTGCCGTGGAAGCAGCTTGTGAGAAGTTTAGTCTCCTTCGTGTTAACATCTCGTCAAATAGGTCAAACGCTTCACCGTCCCTCAGTGTGGGTTCTGTGCCCAGTTTTCAACTTTGGGTTTCTGGACAGATTAATAGATGTTTATTCGTCTGGTCAAACACAAAATTCCCAAAAGCCAGTCTTCTCATTTGAGTTTTTGTTTGCAATTTGAAAATTTACACAGAGAAGAAGGAAACCATTCAAAATGTCAAAAAATCTTACAGTGTTAAAGAAAGAGATAAAAGACAAACCCCACCTCTTTGTTCAGGTTCATGTGAAAACGTAACGAGTTCATGTCCCATCCTTCCTTCAAGCTTCTCGGAATTCTGATCGGTAACTTTCACGTTATCCTGCTGACAAACAGACAAACATAAGCTCCTTGGCTGAGATAATTAATCACTAGTCAGCACTTGTGACTTGGTGTCAATCTCCTAACTTCATGAATAAAACAGGTTTCCTGACCAACTCAACTCAAAAATGTCCGAACCCTCTCGTCACGACAAGGTTTGACCATGTGACCCATCAATGAGCTGTTGTGCCTTGGTACTTGATTACTGTTAAGCTACAGCTGACTGTCACAGTAGCTTTGACCTGAGATATGGACTAGACTGCCCCCTGCTGGCACTCGGTTGAGATTACTAACAAAGGCAATATAAGTGTATTCCTCTGACAGTGCTTGGCTGCTGATAACATGCGATCACCTGATCTTCTCTTACTTCCGTGTGTTTTTACGTGTTTATTTATGAAGGCTTTATTTTGTTCAATGCACTTTATTATTATCCAGTAGTAGAACAGTAACTGTTGGTAGAAAACATAATAAGCAGTCCTGTTAAATCACAATTCTTCATATAAGGAGGAACCTAGTTGACTGAAGCTGATTTCAGTCATCAAACCAAAACCACTTTTTAAGACCGATGCTGTTTTCTGTTTTTAATAACGTAGCACTATGACAGGTAGGGAATCACTGTTCTATGGAGGGCAGGGCTGCTCAACTCCACACAAACACTCCTGCGCTGTTGGAGGACGCCGGTTCAGATTTACAAATTGTAAAAAGACGACTGAACTGCGTACCATTACTTTCCTTTCCTCATGTGCATTTAAAAAGGCCTGATGTATTATTTCCCCCAATGAATTCTATTAAAAGTCTTTAAACAAAACACAAAGCCTGGATTCTTCTCTGCAAAAGATCAGTCGAAGCGTGAAATGTAGATTGTAGAAATATATTTACAGTTTACTCCAGGGAACAAAAACACAAGATGCGAGGTAAAGAGGGTTAACTAGGATTATTTCTGAAAAACACAATCTACTAGAGTGCAGAAGCAAACAGAAGCTTTGACACAGACACAGGAGACAAACATTCCCAACATTTTTTCAGCAGGAAACATAAGCATTAAGAGACGCTCTGAATATTTTGTATTTGTTCATCATTCAACAACGAGAAAATATTAAACTGGTTCAACAGATGTTTTCATCGCCCCTGCTCTGAAAGGGTTCTTGCCAATCAAAAAAATGTCAATAACTAATCACAGAGTCGCTTTATATCGTGTGAAGTGCATCTTTGTCGTTTCTTTGGCTTCACCTCTCTTGGATCCTCATTTACAAAAAATCGGTGAATTCTCGTTAGGTGCTAAAAATGATTGAAAACCTAGAAATTATAAGAATATTTTAAAACGTAATTGTTATTTTTGGATTGTTGGATTCTAGATTCAATCACCTCATAGTTGCATCAAATATTTCCTCCTTGATCTCTGTTTTGGTGACAATCATTCGAAGTCTTACGAAATACGACCTTACACAAACATGCATGTTTTGTCTTTTTTGCAAATAAACACAAACGACCACAAAAATGAGCTCTGCACGGCCGGAGCACTCTCACTGACCTCTGCTTGTCCTTTTTCACTAATTTAACATCAATTTACTATAATTTAATACAAAAAGAAGTTGACTGTTGCAAAAGCGACTCAGTGAACAATAACATAAGCATCAGATGAAGCTGAGAATACAGATTTACAAAAACTAGCAACAAACCTTTGATTCTAATCCTCTGAACGAGGGATTCAAACTCCAGTGACCCCCCCTCATCCACCATCCTGACAGACTGCCATCCTTCCACATCACCTCTCATGTATGCATTCACACAAACTGACACACACACACAGTCTGTCCTCAGCTGCTGGGACCTCAGGCAGATCCCTGGTCTTGCCTCGGGTTACATTCTCCGATCTGCTGCAGCCGTGGAGTGGTTCCAGCTCGGGGTTGCTACTGCGCCCTCCTCCGTCTCCCACAGCCAATCACTACCTCTGACCTCTACTTGTCCCCGCCAGACTCGGACTCCTTGGCCAGGCCGCGGATGGACAGGTCGTACACCACCTCCTCGATCTTCTTCACGTCATACTTCAGACCATCGTAGCGCTTCCTCAGAGGGTCGTTCTTCAGATTGAGCAAGCGGAAGCCCGAGTCCAGCTCATTGATGAAGTTGGAGATGCGGAGCGGCCGGGTGTAGTCTCCTGCTGTGACGCTGTTGACCGCCAGTCGTGACTGTAGAAATGACAGCACAATAAGACAGGAAAGCATAAATTTCAAGAAATCTAAAAAACGTTAATACACTATCGATTTAATACGAAAGCAATCAAAGCTCGTCTCACCAGTTCACTGGCCATGATCAACACACCCGCCAGGTAGTCCTCTACATCCAAGTGAAACCCTTTCTCTCGCACCACCTCAACTACAGAGTGAAGAAGGCAGAGGGAGAAAAAAAGGTGTAAGGCCACATTCGTCACTGAGAGTAACAGACTAACACATGAACGGATACTTACTGCCGAGTATCCGAGCAACCTCCTCTCGAGTCACAAGTGTTTCACTCTCCAGGTAGACGACAAAGGCTGCCAAGAAAGCCAAGCGCTGCAGCACGAACCTCCAGTGTTCATGGAACCTTGAGTGACAAATTAAACATTTTATTTCACCAAGATAACCAACTCTATATCAACCCTGCAGTCCACGGTACATAAAACAAGTGATCACGTGACTTTTCAAAGAGATGAACCAGATGAACGTATTCTAATACCAGGTGTGAACTTAGGCCCACTTCAGACCTGATCATGAGTGGACATCTTTAAGTACGTGTGTTCTCGGCCGTGTGATGACAGCCACCGCTTTAAAGTTGAGATCTGGTGGAACGATTATACAGTGAATCTAGATCAAAGCTTGATCCATGTTCATCATAAACAAACTGTCTAAGAAACTAAATTAGGTGAAAGAGAAAATGCTCAAGAGGATGTGACAATTTGGCGAAAGATAAGCTACTAATGTTGCTGAGAAGTTGGAATAATTAGCAGAGGTATGGCAGCGATGACACAGACCCACGACTTGAAGAGAGTTACACGTTGTTTGAAACATGTCTCTTACCTGTAATATTGCTCCATAGGAAACTTTGTTTTGAGGTCTGTGATTTGTGTCCTGACGGTGCAGAACAATTCACGTGCCCTTGCACATTTACTGGGAACTAAGGACAGACAGGAAAGGACCAATTTTAAAATCGAAGACACCATGAAGTACAAGTGAAACGGTTCAAACACTCACTTTCTTTGAATCCAGATGGTTGGTGGACACTTTGGAGAACTGTCAGAATCTCTCTAGCTGCCTGCTCCAACGTCTGAACCACCTTACGGATATCCTGCAAAAGAGACGCACCAAAGGACACAGTGAGAGTTATAGTTATTCGATTCTTCCACATGTAGGGGACCGATATTTGCTGTGCAATTTGGTGCAAATCGGAAACAAAGTCTGGATCTAGTGGGTTTAGATGTGGACTCATAAGGAGGGTTTGCAATCTGCCACTCTAGTTATCATTACATTTTATTCATTGG